AATGGGATAATATAAAATGGCTTGTCAGATAAAATTCATTATTGCCTACATTTAAAAGTAATTAGTTTTACTTGGGATGTCGATTTGTGAACAGTGCGGATGTTTATAATGAGTCATTTTAGTGAACTACTTACTCTATCGCTAGTAATATTATCGAATATGTCGGAAACATATTCAGGTCAATAAAGATATGCGTATTTACAGGCTTGACACCGCTGCATAGCCACGCCCAATATGCAACCCGATGGCATTTTGGCTGTCTTGGCGAGTTATAGAGCCTGGCCTCTTGTATTCTATTTCATTGAATTGTTATTCTCTTAAAAAATTGTTGATTATTGTCAAAAAGAGTCTCAGCTTAGCTCCGAAAAGGCCAGTTACAAGCAATATGTAGATGAAGAGAAAGTAACCGAAAGCTGCTTCGTCTTCCGCTTGGAAATTCGGCTCACTTGTAGGTGAACTAGTTCTGATTAATGAGAACCATTTTGTAGTCAATGTAAACACGCCAGTTAAGCCTGGCTCTAGCTTCAAAAAGCAGAGATGACAACTTTTGCGACTGCAGCTAAATTCGCAATATGCAATTCTATTTCAGATGACAACAATAATTTGCTTCCACTTTCACGTTTTGCGCAACATTTATGCGTTACTTATTTCATATTTATGCATCAGCAGTAAAAGTCAGATAGTATTAGTAGTATGCTAAAAGTAGTTTGTGCAAACTGACAATGCAGTTTAGTTTGCTCGAGGGTTGACTGAAGCTCGTTCAGCGTTCAGTAGTCGGATTCAGAATAGTTACTCTCTCTTTACAGGCGTTGCGTCTTTTGTCTGAACCTGGCCAACCTATTATGAATTATTCTTTGATTAGTTGTACAATTATGCCATTTCTATCCATCAATTCTCGTCAAATCGGAATCACCCATCTCCATGTCGACCATGCGGCCTTTTGTTCAATCAAAAACAATACAAAACGCCATAAGTGAGGTTCCGCTAAACGATGTCTAAAGTGGCAGAATGCAAGCTTTTATGCTTCAAAGTCAACGGGCGTAAAGTTTGATGGTTGAAATTTGCTTGAGGCGCCGAATTGCGACAAATGCGCTGCCAATAAATCGTTTCATAGAACGCATTGGACACGTGAGAGGCCAGAAATGCGGCACACCCCAGCCGAATATGCTCTATTTGCCAGCATTGGCTGCCATGAAAGCAAGCATTCTGCAATTGCCAATCTCCAACATTCCCACCGCAACAGCGCCCCATCCTGACGGGGCTTGAACGCTGACGAATGACCAAAACTGCAGTCCACTTCAGCCGGGTTGAGGACAACTTTGGGGAAAGCAAGGCTGTATGGAATTGAATGAAAAAGATCAGCTCTACTCATATGATTGTGGGAAAATTCTTCTACTACCAGTCCTTCATCACCTTTCACGAATTGGGTGAATACATTTCATTAGAATGACCGTCGAACGTTGCGGTGGACTAGACTCGGATACCGCCAGTCGGGACAATTAAGTTGCAGGTTGACGACATTTGGCCATTTGCCTCATTTCCATCCGTTTGGAAGGGAAATGAAGCAGAAATCTGCAAAGTAGAGGGCAGATGAGTGTGCGAGAAATCGATGTGGTTGCGAGGGGACAATGATTGGAAAGAGAAGAAATGATACAATTTGCAGCATGATTAAAGTGAAAGAGTTGCCTCTCTTCATTCTGCTTCTCAGATTGACCTTTTTCGTTGTCCAAATGCCACATCTTGCAGTTGGCGTCATTTCAACAAACAGGCTCGTGGATTGGTTGGTCGGATCGAGTGAAAGACGTCTCGGCGGCACACCACACGCCAGGGTACAAGAGGTCACCTTCTAAGGGCCCTTCTTCATCACCGCCAACCTGTTCAACCCAATTCTCAACAGAACCGGTGAATGTAGACCTTTTCCGTTTGGCCGGTGCCAAGTTTGGTCCATTTGAGTGTCTGCCACATGCACAAGTGGGCCATTTGTCGTTGAAGGCAGGCCGTGCAAAAGATGAAAGCGCTCTTTTGTACCGCTTGTCTGCCAGTCGAGGCGAAGATGGCACGGCCAGGAGCAGAGACCGAAAGAGGCAGAGACAGCAAGACCCAACCGTCGTGTGGTACGAGGCCGGAACCGAGCAGACCGACCCTACACGCACCGATCGCTTCGTATGTCCTCTCGCAGCCAGCTCATGCCAGAACATGACAAGCACACACGCAGACACACGCGACTAATACGCAAAGATAGGCTTCTTCCTGCCAGCCAGCCAGCCAGCCCGAGCACTCTCTCAACTGAATATATCCCCAAATTGGGGCATATCGTAGACTTTCTAAAATTGATGTGATCCGAAATGTTGTTATGTTCAAATAGATTCTTAAATCGGCCCCACCGGACATCGAAGAAGGACATTCTTGATGTTTTGACTTGGGATCTGTTTGAAGAAGTTCTCGATCCATTGTCCTTTAACAGTAAGGCCTTTAGACTGGGCTGAGAGATGCTCTTTCGCTGTGAAGAGGTGGAATATGAATTGACAACTTCAGAGAGATGTAAGCGCCCTCACGACATACGATCGCGCCAAGGTTGACAATAGAGTGCCCTCGTGGATTGAGTGTAAATAACTAAGCAAGAGAGATGCCCAAAATATCATGTTTGTTATGCCCACAACCACAAAAGCCTGTGGATTTGGGGATATCTTCAGTTGAAAATTGGTATCACTTGATCAGATTGATTGATCAGCATAAAGTAGTCCATTTTGACACCAAGTCGTCGGTCACGTTGTCACGGGACGGCGAGCAGAGCCGTCCAATCCAACAACCGCAAGAGCACGGAAACGCTCGGTCGGTGTGCAGTGAAGCGAATGTACGTGTAGTAGAAGAATTTTCCCACAATCATATGAGTAGAGCTGATCTTTTT